CCCCCAAAACCCCAAAACCCCAAAACCCCTTTGAGATTCTTTTGGTTGAATTTGAAGATTTAGAGCAACCTGAGTGTTGATTCCTATAATATTTCTCGTATGGTTGAGCAATAGATTCACATATTTTCGACTTTCTGTATTTAGGCTGGTCTTAAGAAATATATCCTTGTGCCAAGAACTTGAGTCGCTATATATTAGGTTGGTGAATAACCCTAATATGTACTTCTTTTGAGCAATCACTTTTCATATTATGTCTTTAATTTGAGTTCAAAGGGGGAGTTTAGAAATCCGAATTACAACTTAGAACAGATCCGAGAATTCAGAGAAATTAACTCAGACTTCAAAGAAATATCTCAATTAAACTGATCGACCAAGTATGAACAAAATTCATAGAGGATCGTAATTTCTTATTAGAACTTTTCGTAACAGAAGAGAGATCTCCCTAAGGCTTGGGCGCCAAATGAAGACCTAATCTAGATATAGAGAAGATTATTGTACTATAATTCTTCATGGTTGCTCTTTGTCATCCCAAATAGTGTGTCTAGTAATCTAACTATTCCTGGCTCTTGAATTAAGCTTAGGTTTTCCCTTCAGATAACTGTAGCCTTTAAGGTAGCATACATGTTTACTCTCCCTCCTATAAACTTAGGCGGAGATAAATTAATAGTTTTAGAACTTAAGGTAAACAAGTCTGAATTCTATTTTTGTGAATAAATCAGCAATCCAATGACTTTTCGAAATTTTTAAGGAATGAAAATTTACCATAAAACTGCTGAATGAATATTTCGTAGCTAAATTATCATAAAAGACTGGTCTTCAAAAAGGTGGTAGGAGGAAGACAGCATTGACTAGAAGAGGTAGTAAACACTTTATTACTGCTAGAATGCGTTCCCAGTGCTTAAAATATTTATAATCCACTCTAGTAGCCAACAGTTCCAATATGGCTCAGAATAAGCTTCCATGGATTTTGAGGAATTTTTAATAATATTAAATATTATTTAGTTTTAGATTTGACAAAGCAAATCGAAATTTTTCGACAAACTGGCTGAGGTTATAATCAAGGCTGCTATTCAGTGATATCTAGCATTCCTATCCTCCCTTTTCAATACTAGTTAGTTTTGAGTGCTATGCTTTATTCTTACTTCATAATTTAGCTTTGGACTCTCATATCCAGAAATATTTGATGTAAAACTCGGAGATAGTTGGTTGAGCTTTAAAATCTTAAAACCTATTATAAAATTTAACCTTGAAAATCGTTGTTTTATCTATAAAAGGGCCCATGTTATAGTTTTATAGTTTCTTTGTAATTTTCTCCTTTACAGCGATCCCAGACATTAAAGACCAAGTCAGAAATTCCAAAAAAATCAATATTTTTAATAAGAAACCCATATGAATTTTTCAGATTTCACATGAAAATTAATGTTTTAACTTGTCCCAAGTGATAAAAATATGGCCAGCGAATAGAAAATAACGGCCTAATCATGCACATCTAGCCTCTACAACCCCATCCAATACAATTCTCTTCCTTACTCCTTCTAGGGCTCCTCCTTTACACCAGACTGACTCTATTCCCTAGCCCCTATCAACCCCTTCCCAAACCAAATAACTTCCAACCTAACCCCCTCTTAATCACTAATCTCTATTAAATCCCTTCTCCTGACTCCTACTGCCTAAAAAGACCAGGACTCTAACTTCCCAAATTCATCCATTTGTCTTAAAGAAACAAGTTAATTTTTCATTGTGGGTTACTCAGCAAGCAGGAATAAAATGGACTGAGAGAGAAATTTGATCAGTGTTATTATAGTATAAAATTTAGTTATGAGCCGAAATGAACATCTTCCATAGTGATCACTCTTTTCTCGTTATTGGTAACTTTGTTATGATCAGCAATACATGAAGTATTATTGGAATCATGTATAATATCACTTCCCTTTGGCAATTTTTGAATATGAGTTCTCGCTCTAGAGCGCTTACGAATCCTGATAGCCTGCTTCAGGAGGCCACTGATGCTCTGCTTCATTGGGACTCGATGATCAAATTTAGGAGTGGGAGCTTCTAAATTATCCTCATTGTCAATTCAGAAAGGAGACCCGCAGATCTTCATAGACCTTAAAGGGCTTCTTGGAACTTTATCAGCCTCTAAAGGTATGTAAGATGTCAGAAGATTAGTATCTGACTTAGGTTTGTTAAAATCTGTCTTATTTTTCAACAATCTTTCATTGAAATCCTCCTTAGATTTCATCTGAAAGGATGTTCAAGACATATTAGACGTGAGCTTAGCTCACGTCATTACTGATTTGGCTTGAGCTCCCTCACTGAGGAGATCCTCAGAGAGGTTTTCGTCATTGTCCAAAAAGAATTTGTTTTCCATTTTGAGGTTTATGTTTTGATTAAAATTATTGGTTTGTTCTCAAATTTTTCAATTTATATCTTGAGCTATGGGGTTTTGGGGTTTTGGGGTTTTGGGG